CCCAAATCATACTGAATAAATTGTTTATGCATTTGTCACAGATAAACTGCAGGACGATTCCCTGAAGAAAGGTGGCTGTGGATGCACAATCTTGTGATCCATTTGACCAGATAACAAGAATTACTCCAGTTTAATAATATTCCATAGGTCATGGATTTTTCAGTAGCGGGACTTTTGGATGCTTTAAGAAGTATCTTGAACGTTACTGGAATCCAAGAAGATATGAAATGACAAAATTCGAAGATCAAATATCATTGAAGCTCTTTGTTTTTACCTTTTTTCCTTCTCTTTTCATTGTATTACCTTTAGATTTCAGCTTGGAAATCTAGAAGGCAAAAAGGGATTGGTGCCATTGCTGTGTAGGAACTTCTGTGGAAAGGATGTAAAAGTTTTACTTTCTTTTTCAGGTTGGGGTGGGGGGCAAACTTGTTACAAGAAGCACAAAAGAACTGTTGAAAATCATAGATGGTTTGATTTCATTTGATTCCACATTCAGGCATTTGTACCTTGTTACGCTATTTCTTCTGTTATCGAATCTCCATTGTCTATGGCATCAAATCGACTATGTCAATATATTGCTTGGAAAAACATGGAAAATGGAGATTCATATAGCCTATTCCAACTTGTTTGGAACTGACATAGTTGTTATTTCCATGTAGGATATGATTTAAAAACATGGACAGTGAAAATTCATATAGCCGACTCTAACATGTTTGGAACTGAGATGTAGTTATTGCTATTTCCACATATGGTCGTTACCTTATCACTAATAATTACGCCACACCCTTAGGTGTTAAAACTTAAAACCAAACTGGCCTTATGCTAACTGTTAGCTCTAGTAACAAGATGCAAGTCAAATTCCAGCTTACATTACCATGTGTAAGATGTATCACAGGGAGTTACCCACATTGGATGGGAAATCTTCACAATTATAGACAAAGCAGCTCAGTATGACAAATTTTGATGCCTCTTAAAGTAGAAGCAGCAGTGCTAATTACAGGATAATCTAATTTCTATACATAATATTACAGCCAAATACAGGTAAAAATGGGAAATGAGGCTATAATATATGAGATATCTGGATCTACACTTAACTTAGAAGGGTGACAAAATTTAACAGCCACATTTTAACATTTACATAGAAGCAAGGCAGCTTGCGGGATTGGTTCCTCAATATTTGGAGCTTATCTTGGCAAGCCAGTCCATAAAACTGAACCAACTTATAGCGCTAACATGAGACATGTTGGCATCCACTCACAGAGAGCTTATGAAGAAATGGATTCAAAGAGTGGCTATGATGGACTGTCTACTATGGACGATGAGGAACGATTTAGCTGCACAAGCTTCGTCTTAGATGATCTGACATTCTTGAGAGTCATCTTCAGTTTTTGTCTCTCGCCTTCAACCTCCGCAAACTGGAGGCTTAGCTGGGAGTATCGATCGTGCATCTCCCTAAGTTCATTCTCCATAGCTACATGCTTTTCTTTAATTTCCAACATTTCCTTGATCAACTCGTTAATGTCTCTGAAGCTTTTGAAGATTGCTTCGTCATCACTATGTTGTTTCAGAAACGAACTGAAGCATAGATAAACAGCAAACGGTCACTTCTATTGTAATTTATTCTAAGGATCAAATATCATCACATAGAGCACTGAAATCCAAGAAAACAGAACATTTTCATTGTAACAACAATAACGGCAAAACACTTCAAAAGAGTTACATCTCCAGTAGGCTTTCAAGTGAAACACATAAAACGGATGATTTGGCAGCTTTGGATGCTGCTCATTGCCATGCAAGCAGATTAAGAAAATAACTATGTTTAGTGTCTTAGTAGATAGACCTAGGAAATGCTTCAAGGAATTGCTGTAGAACATGATTTACAGATTTTATATATGCAGTTCAACATATGGATTATTGGAACTTCATTAGTAATTCTCAGTCCTATTTAGAAACTATGGAAGAAGTCTTCAGACAGCCATAATCTGATGTTAGCATAGAATTGCAGCAATGGATCTATCATAAATAGTAATCACAAGTGTTAGCACTGCAAGAATCAATTTAGCAACATGCAAAATTAAGCAGGGTAAAGTTGTCTCCGTGTGACCTATAAGTCACGGGTTCGAGGCCTGGAAGCAGCCACTAATGCTGGTATTAGAGTAAGACACCTCTTTGGGTGCGGCCCTTCCCCCGACCCTGCCTAAAATTAAGCAGGGAACACCGTGGCAGTTGTTATTTATTACGTTGATTGAGCAATGTGAAATCACGAATGGAAAGATGTACTAAAAAATTGAGTAAAAGAATGGCAGAATGAAGTATCTGCTAGGGCTAATTAAGCAGGCAATGATGAAAGTAATTGCAACATCCTACCTCTGGAACATGCTAGACTTATTTTTTGCTTTCAATGCTTCAGCAAGCTCAATTTCCAGCGCAAGTACCCTCTCTAGTGCATTACCAGTGCTAGCTATATCCTTGAATGTTGGGAACATGCTTCGGAGCTCTTCATTTGCCTTCCAGATTAAAAATCACGATAAACAGTGATCAGAGGCACAATGAAATATTCAACTATAATATATACAAGTTAAATTCTTCTTTTTTAGCCGTAAAAAAGGTCATTTTCATTGAAATCAGCACTAAGGTGCTATAATATTTTACATCTAAATGGCAAAAAGCAAAAGGTGTAGTTCCTTCTTAACTATAATATATACAAGTCACTTCAGTATACCTTGTGTAATTGCACGAGTTCGCTCTGAAAAACTTCCAAACCTGGATCAGAATGTTGATCCTCAGGAATGAGAGAGTTTTCACGTTTCATCCTTTCCAACTGCACCGCAAGTAAAAGAAAAAAAAAATTCTATTGGCACCACCAAGTATAATTTATAATCTGATTGTTGCCATCCCAGTTGGATCAATAAATTTGTAAGTTACAAAGAATACCTCTTCGTGTAAATGTTCCATGCTAGACCTCAAATTCCTGCTTCCAAACAGTTCATTGCTGAAATCTAAATGCCTTCCATTGCTTGGTGGCGAGTAACCTTCAACAGCTGTTAATGCAGCATCCTGGTAAAAGATGGAAAAAGAAAAAGCACTTCAAAAATCAAAGGATTCTATGGGATGAAATGCAAGAGCAGGGATTTACAGAATTAGATTGATTTAACCACTGAAGTCATTCAACTAGGAAAGTGTAGATTCACTAGATTAAAACTAGAAATCCTATAGGCATATAACTCGTCGGCCCACCAACATATACACCTAAACTCAAATATTAAACTATAAGGTCTTTCATCTTTCTTTCCTTCTTTAAATTTGTTTACAATTTTTACATGTCTTGGATAGATGGGCTATGTGACTTTCATCCATATGGAAGAAAAGTGTAATGCACATAGTTGAACAGAATCTCTTTATTTTATGTACCGCTGCCTTGCTATAACTCTTCCTATTCCTTCCAAGTACCCTAGGTCCTAGCTAGCATTGATCATGTCTTAATACCTTTTATTCCTTGACATGTTGGTTATGCTTTTATGCCTTGCAAAATCCTAGACGGTTTTCCAGCAAAGTTGAGGATAAGTCTCACATGCTTGGATAGCTGTTGAAGACTGCAAAAATCTATAAAATCATGGATGCTAGCTTGCAAATGCAAAGGAAACGATGGCTGTTTCTTCCTGTTCTTCGTTTCGTACATAGATAAAATGTAAATGAAATAAAAACATTTGAAAACTAACACTGGCTTTTTTACAGACTCACGCACACGACAAGGTGGGTTGGTGGGTTTATTTACTATATACTTGGTGGGTGTAGATAGCATAGGTATGTTTATTACCACATTTGTTGTGTGAACCCTGTAGCTTTCTGCTTTATGTAGCCCAAAAGAGCGTAAATAAATAAGATTTTCAGGAAAACATTCCACATCAACTACATACTTATCTTTTTTCAAAAGAAAAAAAGAACATTCTGTATCAACTACCACATCAGTTCTGGTTCTTATCAGAGAGCTTACTGGAGTGAGTAGAAGTTTCACTGGTGAGCTTGATTCTTCACTTCTACCATTCATAAATAAGGTTGTTTCCTTGACATTCTGGACATCAGATGAATCTCCTTGAGGCGTGGCATCCGGAGAAGGATTTACATTTGACTCATTAGGTGCAAGCTCAACTTTGTCCATCTGGCCATTTTCTCTCGTTGATACAATAGAAGATGTGACATTCTCCAGCTGCTCCATAGTCAAAGTAAGTTCAGCTGCAATTCTGGAGTTCTCTCTCACACGTTCTTGCAAAGATATTTCGAGTTTGTCTTTTTCCTCCTTGCAACACTCTAGACTTAGCAACGCACACTCCAATTCTGCCTTTATTCTGTCATGATCTTTGACTATTTCACGCTTGTCAGAAAGCACAGACTGTAATTCGGATTCCAACGCCAAGATTTTGAGAGCTAGGTCTTCATTCTTCTTCAAGTGCAAAGCTTCAGATCGCTTCCTGCTTTCAATTTCATCTAATGCATCCTGTAACTTCAAAAGCATATCTTCTCCATGCTTTTTGGAGATGGAAACTTGTTGTCTCAACTCTTGGAATTTTGATTCATATTGCTCTTTAATAAAGACTATTCGCAGCGACTCTTGCACAGCAACTGGTGGCCCTTCAGATTCTCTTTTCTCGCGAGCCCGGAGACATTCTGCATCAGCCTTATCCTTGAGCTCCTTCAAATGGATGGATAAATTTTTGAATTCTTCCGTCTTCAGGGCCTGCTCAGAGAGCTTGTGACTTAGCTCTTTACACTTGTGGGTAAGCTCATTACACTGTAACTGTAAGGTGACCATTTCATCTCTGTTGTTCTCCTGTAAAATCGCGTAGGGGTGCAGTTCATCTAATTTGCCTTGGAGCACAATCACCTTGATCTCCAGTTCCTCCTTGGAGAGTAACAAGCGATTAATTTCTTCTTCGGCATTTGCCAGCATGTACTTCAACTTCTCCACTTCTCGAACATGATAATTATTAGTCTCGAGGAGAGAATCCTCCAACATTGCCATCTCCTTCTTGTATTCCTCAAGCTTCACTGTGCTAACATTCTTGGCATCTGAAAGATCATTACTTTGAGCAATAGAAGCTTCAAAATCAGATCTAACAGCACAAAGAGTTCTTAGCAACTCCTTGTTTTCTTGAATCGAACAAGCCTCACTTGCAAGGCATTGATTCAACTTGGTCTGTAAATCATCGCATCTCCTCTGAAGCTCGGCAATGGACCCATCTGATGATTTAAGCTGCCGCACAAGCTCCAGATCCAGTGTTTCACAGTGGCTCATGGCAACTGTGAACTTAACATCAGAAACAATGGCATACTCTTGTATTTCTAGCATATGCCTTTTAAGATCAGAAACATTGGAAAGCTCTTCCTGAAGTTTTTCCATTTGCCCATTACGCTGCTGCAAAAGATGGTCAAGTCTAGATTTCTCCAGTCTTAACTCTGATGCAAGCTGCCTGAAATGCACCAGCTCGGCATTTTGC